AGGTGGTCATCATTTAGTCAAAATGTTTTGGCATCTTATAGACTCAGCCTTTGATGATTTTTAAAAGGCTTGTTTGTTGTAAGAAAAGGACAAAGTTTAAGTCATGGGAAAGTCCATGAGCCTAAAGCCATCAATGAATACAAGCAATTCATTTGAGTCCAGCAACTTGTGGGGTCCTGGGACCCTTCCTGCTATAAAACTGGGAAGGATGGAGCATAAGAAGAGAAGAGAGGGGGGAGGAGAGGGATGGGAATGAATTGGTTAGAAATGCAAAGGGAAAAACAAAACAAACCAAATCTTGTTTAGATGTGAAAGGGCAGCAAACAGAGGCTTGGAATCCTACAAGAGGAAGCTGAGTTCTGGACAATCTTGAATATTTGAATGAATATACACTTCACCACCTTTTTCAGAATTTGACCCGGTCACTGAAATGTTACCATGTGTGTAAGTCTGTGTTTATACTAAATATAATCACAATGCCACAGAAATTATACAATTTTATTACAAAGAGGTGAATCATTCTGTAAAAGTTTAAGATAAATGACTCATTTTGTATGATACATGTTAAAATGTTGAAGAAAGGTAGTTTATAGTTATTTTTCAGTATCTTAAGTAATAGCTGATAGTGTTCATGTTTTATGATTATTTTCTCTCCTTTCTTTACCCCAAATGAATCTACAAGAAAGTCTCTGATAGGCAAGGTAACAGGAAAGCAATTTGGGGCACTGATAAACCGGAAAGTAGGTAGAATGCACAGCTGGGGTTATTCTGCCATGGGGATCTGAAGTCCATTCCTAGGACACATCGAGTATATTCTCTTATTTTCCTCTGTGCAAGTTTAAATGGAAGTCTGTAGAATCTGCAAGTTTTGAATTTCTAAAAGCTATTTTTAAATTTTTCAAAGAAAATGTAATCTGTCCATAACTGATTACAATGCCGCTTAACATGATATAAATTGATTTCCTACTAAGCCATCTCTAGCTGTATTTGTTGTCTACACTGTCTGAGTCACAATGTTGATAGCACTACTCACTGGGTGTGGACTCTATGGACTTGTGACCAGTATGTTCTCCACGACAATATTTAACAAATAATTGACAATGTATTTATTGTTTGCTGAAACTACAGAAAATGGAATACTTGCTTAAACTTACTTTTCAAATATAAGAAAAGGAATCCTTCATTATAATCCTTTGATTGCTTCTCAATATGGCTGACACATCATAAAGAAAGGGAAGTGATGTCTCACACTGATCTTGACTTACAGCTCTAATACTTAATTGCACTACAAAAACTTTTGTCTACTCAGAGGCACTGTGGTCATACAAACATCATGGAAATGCATGTTGTTCTTAAAAATACCATCTGTTGCTGTTGGATAGAGTGCAAGCCTGAGGAGATGTGAAAAGGTAGAGGAATGTTCAACAGTGTCTCCCATTACAGAGGATTTGTTTTGGCTCCTACACCAATTTATGTCACTGGTTTAAATAACAGAAATGAAGAAGTAGTAACCTGGATTTTGTGGGAGCAAATTCAGAGTTGAAAACATTCGCCATCAATTGCACTTGAGAATTGTTGACATCTAAGAAAATCAAAACCATAAATTGAAACAAAGAAAACAGAATATTGAGAACTAGATTTGGGTGGGAGGAAGGTGTTTGATTTGAACTCAGGAAGTGGTATAGAAAGTTCATGGTGATGACTGCATAAGTATTGGAGAATTTATTAAGGCAACTCCACATAGTTAAAAAGGGAGGATTATTTGGGGATAACTTACAAGTAAAGAGATAGGTTACAGGATCCAGGAGAGGTGAAGTGCAGTCCAGTGGTGTTCTCTGGAGAACTCTGATCAGTCTACATCCAGCATCTAGGATCACCAGGAACCAAGAGACCCGGCACATCTGGATCTCAGGTCTTAAGGGCGCAAGTCTTGTCCCCACATCAGGGGCAGGCCATAGGTGGGCGTGACAGTTACCGGAAGCCTCAATGAGGGTAGTACTTCCAGGTTAAAGCTGGAACAGCTACCTACTACACATAAGGGCCATGAAAAGATTCTTTTTTCATTTGCATATCTTTGTCAAAGGCTTTTAGTAGATTAGAATTAGGGGTAATGGACTGATAGAAAAATAAGTACATTTTAGAACAATGGAAAAGAACTTCTACCCAGGAATATTCTTTTTTAATGAACTGGATTCACAGGCACATTTTTAAATGTGTAGTTTGTTTCCAGGGTGATTTCATATATAAGCTACCAGAAATTTTAACTGTCTATATGTAAAAATGCACAATTCTTGCCAAACATATATTCAGCCAGTAATATAGTTTTCAGTTGGAAGGATAATTTAATTGTTTAAAATTATATACAAAGTCATGCTTGTTATTTAGAATTGATATAGAATATAACAAAAATACTTCATTGTACTTAAAATGAAGAATATACCAAGGCCACATATTTAATATCATATATATGTTAAGTATTAGTATACAAAAATGGCATGCCTCTATTACTTATTCCTTCCCTATATAAAATTACCAGTGTTAATGCTAGCACCTGACATAGTTTGAATATGGTATCCCCAAAGCCTTTTGTGTTGAAGATTTAGTCTGCAGGAGGAGGTGAGGCCACACATTGAGAAGTGAATAGAATATAGGGGCTTGGACCTAATCAGTGCATTAATTTATCGATGAATTCATAGTATGATGGTATTGTGTATGGCATGGAAATAGGAGGCGGGGGCTGGATGTAGGAAATATATCACTAAGGGAATACCTTTGAAGGGTATGTCTTGCTACCCCTCCTTTCTGATGCCCTTGGCTTCCTGGCTACCATGAGGTGAGCGGTTTTCCTCTGCCGTGCCCTTCATCCACGATGTCCCTTCCTTACCACAGTCCTAAAAACAATGAAACCAATAGAACATGAATTGCAACCTGTGAAACTGTTAGTCCAAATATATTCTCCTTTACATTGGTTTGCTTTGGTGTCAGTGATGGGGTGTCTAATACAGAACTCTTGGTAAGACAGATGAAAATGTGTTATTTTCAGTGTATTCCATGACCCCTAACTCCTTACGATTCAAAGATCAGCCATACTTGTATTTAATTTTTACTTGTACATATAGACAATCGTTAATTGAGTGCTTACTATGTAAATTACTGTTCTGTACTCATATTTGTAATAACTCTTGGGAGACATTGTTCATCCCACCTTACACAATGCTGAGGCCCAAGGTGTAAAGAATTGATTATAGAACGCTCTCTTAATTCAAAGGTACTCTGGTGAAGGTCCTTCTCTTATAACAGGGAAACTCTCAAAACAATAGCAATGCTTTTACCGTAACTTCTCATACTTGATACTTATAGCTCCCTTGCATATTTCCAATGTGTTTGTAATTAAGATCCATGTCTCAGTTGAGCATTCCATTGCTTAATGTTTCTTAAAATGGATATAGGATGAGCTGATGTTTTAAATTTGCTTAGCTACCTATAAATTTGGGCTCCCTGACAATTTGTGTATTATAGTTTTTAAAATTACAAAGATCAGTAGATCGTAGGAGTAGATTTTTTTTAAGGTATCATGTAGCTGTAGGAATCTCAGACAATGACATCAAAGGGCAAAGAATGCATGAAGGCAGATCATGTTATCATGCATTCCAGAAGACAAAGGGAGGTGTAATAGGGTCCAATAAGTGGAAACGGCTCTGGTCTAATACTATATACTTACTACCCACACACTAAAGAGCTTGACCATTATTCCTCCGATGAACTCATATTTGTTATAAAAAGGTAAAGACATAGGAAATGCATGGCAATTTCTAACATACCTAGTTTTTTCCTGTGAGTTGGGAGATTTGCTCAAGATTTGCTTTGCTGTATCTATCTCTCTTAGGAAGAGACTGTGTTCAGTGGATCACATAAAACTTATTAGTTGCATTGATTATGTACTGGAAAAACATGGGACACAAATTCAGAACCCAGTTTGTAATACTGCAGTATTTTTATCCCATGGAGATGTTGCAAAAGAGACACAATGTATAAAAATGAATGATTTAATGTCTCCATATTTTAGCTACTAAATATTACAAACTGCTTGTGTAGTATAGAAAATTAAATGGTCAAAAGATGATAAAATGTTGCAGGTGAACAAGGGAAACCATCTAGGTTGTTGAGTGAGACTTGCTCTACCGTCCCTCTAGCTTGTTGACCTCATAGTGTCATTATAGCTAATGACTTGGGACAGGTACAACCGATTGAACCATCATTCCATTAAAGAAGCACATATACAATGTTGATCATTCTACTGTGTAGAGGGTTAGGCCGATCCAGAACTTTCCCTGAGGCCCTGATATATGGAGTAGGAACTTGGTTCCTTGTCTAAAACCAGATATATGTTTAGCAAGGGAAATAATGTTCTGGGGCTGAGATCTCAGAAGAGCTATGGTTTTCTAGATCACAAGGTCTTCAGCACTCAACTTGTGACTCATTTAAGGTTACTATGTTACCTTTGTGCAACATTTCCTGATTAGCTTCATGATGACTGAATCCCATTGTGTGAAAATTTATGCTTCTTATATCTGTTTTTCCCTAGAAAGTGTATATGGAATGCTGTACACCTCAATAAAGTTGATTGAAATAAGGCATAACTTGTACATAAACCCCTGGTATTAAACTATTAAACTTTTCTATTTCCTTTATTTTTTGATCACTGAAGAATGACCTATTACTCTAATGTGATTATATATGTGTGTGTGTGTATGTGTGTGTGTGTGTGTATATATATATATATATATATATATATATATATATATATATATATATATATATATATAATGGGCATGTGGGGGTGTATGTATGTACATATAGTTGGTACCTGTATATTTCTTAATACCATGAATAAGCACTGACCGCCATCACAGTAGAACATTAAATTATCATGCCCCAATAACGTCTGTTTGTGAAGGACCTCACATTCATCCCCATTGTCTTGCTTCATTGCCTTTCAGAAATGTTGGAATCCAACAATGTGATCACTTTCAATGGCTTGGCCAATAGCTCCAGTTACCACACTTTCCTTTTGGATGAGGAACGGAGTAGGCTGTATGTTGGAGCAAAGGATCATATATTTTCATTCAACTTGGTGAATATTAAAGATTATCAAAAGGTATCTTTATTCTAATATATATATAAGTTTATATATATATGTGTGTGTGTGTATATATATATATTCCAATTATTTTTAAACACTGAAGTTTTTATGACATTCTCTAGCTATATCAGGACAACTTACAGAACAATATTTAAAAAGGATGTTTTTTCCAAATATATATAAAATGAATGATAGCAATATGCTATTAGATGTACTAAGCCATATATCAAATTGGAAGAAATAATAGTAATTTTGATGGCCATTGGTTAAAAATAACAAACTTTAGCTTATTCTTCCAGTAAAAAATAATACCCTAAAAACCTGAAATGTTAGAGAAATACAGTATAGCTATGTATTCATACGTATATGTATTTGTGTAAGTTTGCCCTTCTTCCCATGGTGCTGGCTAGCTAAGGATACATCAAGCAATTGTCACCTGAGTCAACTGATGGCCTTCTGGCATTTGTGCATAGTTTTATTCAAGCACAGGCACTCCTATTCATTTGTATATGTTTCTATGTTACATGATACAACAGAGATGAGAAATTGTGACAAATCATATGACCCATAATGTCTACAATATTTACAATAATTCTTTGTAAATAAGAAGTTTGTAAACCCTTATCTAAAAATCATATTTCAGGGCACTGGCACCAGATATTTGCAAATTTGATTATTTAGACTTAAGGAGGAAGCTATTTTTAATAATATTCCTTTAGACTTCTGGCTCATTTCAATAATGAACTATATGAATTTTAAAACAAACAGATTGGCATGGTAGACAGAATTGTTTTGCTACATTTACATGCTCTACCATAAGTCAACCAAATTCCCTTAGTTTTCCAGCAGAAATCCCCTGAGGAACAAAGGCTTTCTACAGCTGCTTCCCTGAACATGCTTATCAGTATCTGTGGGTGTGGCTCTGCCCCATACCACTGAAGGCATTAATGTGGTGTGCTGAGCTATTCATGGAGAACACACTGGATGACAACTTCTTAAAAGTAAATGAACTATGAAAAGGTTCTGTTCTGCTTTGAGAGTATTTCTCTGGCTATAAAACAAGTATTTATATTTAAATTGTCATTTCTTTAGTATGACATAACTTTATTACCTTTTTATTCATCTCTCATATGTCACACGCTACCATACTTTCCCTTCCTCCTCCCCTCCAAGACCCTCTCTCCAGCTTGATCCCCAATACTCTTCTCTTCCCTTCAGAAAAAGGCAGGGCTCCCAGAGACATTGGTACAGCTTGATATAACTTTAAATTTGTCATTTTCTCTTTTTATTACCTAAACACAAAAGTTCAGATACATATATAGAGTAAGCTGAAATTAATACGTATATTCATATGAAATTGCATTCAGATATGGTATATTTTATAGTAAAATTGTGATGCTGACACCGAACCGGGTGCTTCTAGCTCTGATTCTGGAAACTGGGTGACATTTAAACATCCTCAGGTAATAGCAATGAAATGATAATTTTTTTCTTTCAAAGATTTTTTAAATGGTGACAAAATAAAGAGAATTTTGGTGTGGATATTTTATCCCAAAGCATCATTCTTCATGAAGTGAATTGGAAACCTAGAATATTCGGTATTATAACTTTAGGATATTATATTTGTTAAAATTTTCTGAGTAGCTTATATTATTTTGTAAATTTCATTTACATATATTGAAATAGGTATATAGACAATAGATATTAGATTAGCTAGGTAGATGAGAGATTAGATAGATAGATAGGTAGATAAATATATAGATGATAGATTGATAGACAGACAGACAGATAGAAAAATAGGTAGATAGATGTATGATAAATGATAGCTAGATATATAGAGAGATAGAAAATATATGACCACATATTGCCTCTGATTATGTAAATCATGTATTTAACATTTTCTTTTACATATATCTTATGAATTTTACTAATGAAATAAATTGTATCTAAAATTTAAAAGAACCAAATCATCACATCAAAATCTTATAATTTTATAAGTGAGACACATCCAAGAGCCAAATGCTTATATAGTATGGGTACAAGTTATCACAGGCCATAAGCTAACCAACATACACATAACAGTGTCTTCTATTTAGACTGTTAATAAAAATAATTGAATCAGCCAGGCGGTGGTGGCTCACGCCTTTAATCCCAGCACTTGGGAGGCAGAGGCAGGCGGATCTCTGTGAGTTTGAGGCCAGCCTGATCTACAAAGTGAGTTCCAGGAAAGGTACAAAGCTACACAGAGAAACCCTGTCTCAAAAAACCAAAATAATAATAATAATAATAATAATAATAATAATAATAATAATTGAATCAATGAATAAATAAGAAATTAAAGATCCTGAACATTGTCACATTAATATTGTTACAACTCTTGCCATGACTTTCAAATTAATATTCTAAAATAGGTCTACCTCAAAGATTAAGATATCATTCATTATATCATTAATGAATGAATAATTAATGTTAATTATATCACATTACTTAAAACAGTGAATTCAATTTATATCTGGCTATTTATTTTTGGCATGTTCTAATATTCATGGCTTAAATGATCATTAAAACATAGCAAATATAAATAATATTGACATGAACTAATTAGAACATAATGTCATAAATAGTTCTTGGTTTTACAACAGTAAAAATAAATGTGTTAACTTAAAGGTGACCATTGAGCCGACCAATTTTTGAGGCAAAAATATAACTGTGTGCTCAGGTTAGGAAGAATCAGAGAAAGATCATTTTCCTGAAGATAATAAATGCATTCTATTTAATCTAAATGATTAATAAGAACATTCATAAGAAGTATTAATTAATGGTATAGAGTTCTTCTCTACTATACATAGGTCTCTGAATTTAATTCTCAGAACTATACTAGAAATATATATATAGAATTCTTATAAAGAATAAATGTAAGGCTGGTAAAATATCTCATCCCCAAAAGTGCTTGATGGGCAGCCAAGATGGCCAGTGTTCAGTCATCAGACCCAAATAAAATACTGGGGTCTTAGAGCACTCCTGCATTCCTAACTTTTAAAAGGTTGAGACAAGGGGATACCAGTGACTTGATAGTCAGCCACTCTGGGCATATCTATGAGCTCAAAGTTCAGAGACCCACCTTAAAAATAGGATGGAGAACAATTAGGAAAGATACACAATTTTAACTTCTGGTATCCACACATCTGCATACACACACACACACACACACACACACACACACACACACACACACACGTAAAGTAGGTCAAGAAATACCTTAAATAATAGAGTATGAAACTAAGCCATGAAAATATAACTATTTTGGGGTTAAAAAAAACACTGAAATGTAATATGCATATAAAATTATTTTATTAATATTATATGGAGAAGAAAAATATAAAATAAGCTTAAAATAGCTTAGAAAGAATGATCAAGAACTAGAAAACATTGTGTCTTCTAAAATCAATATATGTTCATATATATGTACATATATATGAATAAAATCTATAATTTTAGCAGAACTTAGCTAGAAGTTCACTATGATGTCCTACAAATCTTAGTTTACTGTTAGAGAAACATATTTTTTCCTCATCCATTGTTAACTTCAAAAGAAAATTCTCCTGACCTCAAGCATCAACCTGAAGACAGATGGACTGTGGTTTTGTCCTGCCACCCCTCTAGAATGTCAAGATTCAGAGTGATGTTCATTGATAAAGATGATAAATGTACTATTTTTTTAATGTTTTCACTATGTGGCTATATCATGTGGAACACATTTAACATGAATTTTAATTTAGATACACAGACACAAATGGGCAGAAAATCACCTAAAAGAGTACACACTGAATGAAGAACTTAATGATAAAAAATGATGGTGTACCCACTGTCTTTTTAAGCATCATATTTTTGACATGAAGTTGGAATGCATTTTTCAAGGCATCATGTTATTTCAATGATTCCTCAACTCTTGTTTATTAGTTTGCTGCATTCAGGGAACCAATTCCCTGGATTAAAATCTCAAACTTTGCCAGAGTGTGTGACCATTTACAGTGAATTATCCCAAGGCTTCAAATGAATGATGATCAGTCATTCTAAGACTGAAAGCTTTCTAGGACACATAAATAATAAACTGCCCCTGACTCTGGATTTTTATTTAACGAATGACATTTCCCCCTGACATGAACAAATATTACTAGAAAATAAAGCTGATGCAGGAATGATAAATTGTTCTGCCCAGTGCAGATAAGACCCATTGAAATTGTTCATGGAATTTGGGAATTTTTGTATTGAAATTTGGATAAGAGTACTTGTATTGCTATTATAGAGAAAACATATGCAACTGAATAAGCCACTACCAGTAGCATGGTCTACTGTGACCAGATTCACAACTGGAAGAATTAAAACCCACTTAAAATCATTTAAGTAGTTTAGGTTTTGCATGATTTTTGTTATTTGTTTTTGTAAGACACTGTCTTGCTATGTAGTCCTGGTTGTCCTGACTTACTCTGTACATGTAGCCCTGTGTGGCCTGACTCCCCCTCACTCTGTGTATGCAGTCTAGCCTAGCCCTAAAATCACTTTTTATATGTTGGCTTTATAGTTGTACTGAACACACACACACACACACACACACACACACACACACACACACACACACACACACACCGGGAGGAGGGGAGAATCTCACTGTATACAGGCAGCCCCGACTGTCCTGACTCACTCTGACTCACTCTGTATATGGAGCCCTGGCTGCCCTGGTTTACCGTGTATACAGAGCCCTCACTCACTGTGACTCACTCTGTATATGGAGCCCTCACTCACTGTGACTCACTCTGTATATGGAGCCCTGGCTTGTCTGACTCACTATGTATGTAGATCAGCCTGGCCTTGAACTCATGAGGTGTGCGGAGCCCTGGCAAGTCTTTTTGCCTCTGTATCCCAAATACTAGGCTCTTTAGCTAAGGAACACCATGCCTGTCAAAGAAGCAGTTTTTCAGAGCTATATTTTTTCTTTGTTTCCACTTTTATCTTCTCAAAACATATGTTGTTATTCTTAAATATTCCGTATTTTCAGGTGGAGACAGAAAGAAAGAGAGCAACAGAGAAAGAGATGACTTTGGAAGCTGTGTTTGCCAAACATTTCAGGTCTCGCTCTAGTGTGTCAGCCTGGAATTTGGTTCAGAGAGATATTTTCAGAGTACGCTAGTGATAAATTTTCAAAATCACTACTTCATGATAAATACTGAGGAATTTGGAAGAACATGAGACATGCTCTCTGCCAATTTTCACCTAGATCCTCATATTTTCCAAGGATGGCCTTCCTTTCCCACCCAGGGCAGCAGCTCTTTCCATGTCACACTCCTCCATCTATTGATCACATTAACTGCTTTCCAACTCTAATTTATATGGATCAAAGAACAGTGGATAGATGGAAACTGCATGACTTAACACAGAAATTCATTTGCTGTTGTTAAAAGAAGGTCACATTTGACCTCTTCCTCCATATAGTATTTATTTTCCATAGTTGTCCCGAACAAATACAAAGATTATAAAATGCTGGGTCTCTTGGCAAATTTAATTGGCATAAACACGATTCTTTCTGTCCTTAGATTGTGTGGCCAGTGTCTTACACCAGAAGAGATGAATGCAAATGGGCCGGAAAAGACATCCTGGTAAGCATTCATCTGCTGAATTATTCTAATAACTTCCTAAGTAATATGTTACCATGTGATCTCTTCTTCTCTGGTATTCTTTTGAACATCAGTCTTTGCTTGTGGACTTAACGTTTGAAAGAATAGGTGATATTGTTCTATTATGGAAACAGTTTTATATAAAGAAAATAGACAATAATAACAATGCTAATAAAAATATAATTTTAATAATGGCTTACATGTGAGGAGAATAATTAACAAAACGTGATATTGTAGCCCACGAATTTATATTAAATGGCAAATGATCTGTGCAGCTAGAGTTATGTATGTTAGTTCATATTTGTTTCTCTTGAATAATGATTTTTTTCCCTGTGTCATTGTTATAAAATTACCTTTCTATTCTTTTTACACATTACATTCTGTTTTTCTTTCTTTTTTCTTTGTTAGTTTTTGTTACTTGTCTTTCCCACCTTTATTTTTCAAATAAATATTAAGAAATGAATATGTAGTTTACAGTATCCTAGACACTATGGAGTCAAACATTAGTATGCAATGCTGTAAGTGTTTTATCATTTACTGTTAGGCAAATGGCCTTTATCCAAGGCCATTTCTTCTTTATGTAAACTTTGTTAATAAAATTAAGTTGGCAGTGGGTTGGAAGTATAGCTTCAAATCTGAACAAACCATAAAAATAGTTAAAATGCGACAATAAATAGACTACCATAAGTTAGTTCATTATAAATGATGTTCTCTATTTTATGCTTCATCAATGTTTCAGAATATCTAAAACACAAAGAAATATCTAAAGGTCTTATCTATTTTAAATACTAGCATTTAGAAGAAATTCACACTGTGTGTTTCCTAAGGCATACATCTGTCGGTAAGCAGATATTATCAAAAGACAATCTGCTTGTCAGTCGCATTCTAAATTGTAGAAGAAGGATTTGAATTCTCCGGTACAGAATGGCTCCATCAACCAGTGTCATTGTCCCCTGATGAAGGAGATGGATCCAGGAACAAAAAGCACAGAAGTCACCATCCTTGATGTATCTGTTTATTAGCAGACACTTGAAGGTTGTCATTGCAAATTACTTGCCAAATACAGGCAGCATATTAAAAATTAATATGAGACTATTTAATGGTGTCTTTCAGTTGGATTTGCAGATGGGTGGAGAAGTCAGAATTCAATGAGAATACAAGGACAAGAGGAAATTTACAGCCAAGAAGTAGGATGAAGTTTGTGGGGGGGGGGCTACCACAGTAAAACTCTCTGGATAAAGAGAACTCTGACTGATGAGTTGACAGGTTCTTTCTGAGGACAAACCAGAGCGATAAGGGTAGAACATGAAGCATAGTGAAGTTGATAGGCTATTAGAGGCCAAGGATGATTTTCTAATGCCAGCAGTTTTTTTGCTAAAACTGAACAGTACAGAGATGCACATACAGACATTGAGTGGCTCTTCAGAGATACCTGGTTGAAGTTAGGTCAGAGTCAGTGTGTCATTATAAACTACAATATCCCATTTACTAGACCAGCAAATAAAGAAATGCATAACACTCATTCAGAACCAAGTCATTCATTTTTTCCTAACATTTTAAGTTTTATGTAGGGAGTTAAGATTAAAACAATGTTTCTCTGAATGAGGAGATGAATCACTTGCTAAGGTTTCTACAATGCAAGCGGAGACCAGCAGGGATTGGATGCCTAGGACCCAAAGAAAAAGTCTGAGTGGCAGAGCACTTCCAGAATCCTATCTTGAAGTGGGCAAAGAAAAGTAGATACTTGAAGCTCATTGGGCATCTTGCCTACGAGCTTCAAGTTCAGCGAGAGACCCGATGCCAAACGACAAAGGTGGGGAGCAGTAGAGGAAAGACACTGATGTGGGCGGCAGTCTCGGTCTTCGTTTGCACAAGTAGCAGCATGTGAGCATGTCTGCACACCCAGGTACACACATCCACACCAACGAGCACCCTCAGCACACACCAACACCACAAATGATAACAAGGAAGGAATGATGATCTCTTTGATCTCACTAGGAAATTTTCCATTTGAATTATTCCACCAAACAGAGATGACTACTGCTAGTGCTGCACCAGTGTCGTACTTTTCTGGATTCATCGAGACATTAACTCCAGTAATCACCAGCTGGCAGTGGAAGAAGCAAAGGTGGACTTGCTATGCTATTGAGTCATTAATTATTAAAAAAAAAATCAACGCTGAATATTGACCAAAGTTGGTATCTCAGTATTATTGTTTTATGTAACCAAGTTGTAGATAGTAAGTGAAAACTTTGGTTTAGTCCTCTCTTATGATCTGGACCACAATAGAGTTATATGGTTATCCAATTAATTTTGTCAGAACAGCGAAGATATAGTGATACTTGTCTGACAACTTACCTAAATTTTATACTAAATGCAATGACAAACCATTGAGTACATTTGGTTGCATGAATAAATCAGTATTTTCAGTTGCCAGGATGGGAAAATATTCTACTGAGCTTTTATATGGTTTACAAAATTATTCATTTCAATATCTCTTCTCTCTCTCTCTCTCTCTCTCTCTCTCTCTCTCTCTCTCTCTCTCTCTCTCTCTCTCTCTCTCTCCTGACATCTGAGATTTGATTTCTAGCTCACATCCAGTTATTTCAGCTACTACAAAAATCTCATGTCATAATGTGTAATATAATTTTAAATTCAGAAGTGTATCTGTAGGAGAGCAACCTCAGATTTTCAAATTTCATTACAAATGTTTATGGATCTTATAGAATGAAAAAATTAATAGTTGGACTTTGCTGTTTCTGGTACACTATGCTGGTGGCCCCTGACTGTGTGGGAGAGATAGACACATTGAGGTCCACCCAGTATCTAAAGTTAATAGTAGGACTTGGTAATCTCACTGAACTATGGAGTTCAGTGTGTGGAAGCAGCATTTTGAGCATGCATTTTCATATTTTTTTATGTTTTAATAAGACATAATGTTCTTGTGAATTCTTAATTCTCCCTAGAAATTTTTATTTAATAAAATAAAAGCACAATGATTTTATTTCAATGAAATGATTTTATTTTAGTTCTACCTAACATTAGAGTATGTTCTATATTATTCTTCTGTTTAATGCATCTGGCTCTTTAATATTGACTTTCCTTGCTCAGATATTGAAAGTATGTTTATGCATTGAAAATATATTTAAATTCTTTTTATTTATTGTTCAACCTCATTTAGGCATTGTCTCAATGTATATATTTTTTGCTGGAAGCATAATTTTTTTGTTATTTTTATACTTTAATTTAGGTATCTACTTTGCCATCTTTTTCTTTACATATTATTTTGAGATAAAGATTAGATGACTAGTTAAGATTTGTAACATTTTTCTCTTGATAAACATAAGCAAAGACCATTATTATTTTAAGAAATAATATAAATAACTAATCTGAAAGAAAGATTAAGAGGAAAAAGTATATTTCATTCGACACCTGATTTGTGCAGTAACACTTGGGCAGTTTCATGGAAATTCTGTACTGGATCTTGAGTAAATAGTAGTCAGTGGGGATTTGTGGACAGTAATTCTTTTCAAAGTGCTCTTGTGATGCTAGAAACCACAAGGATGAAGCATGTGGGCATGTAGCCATCAGGACTTCAAGATAGAATGGAAATCACAATAAAAATTGACCTTCACATTTACAAAAATAGTAAACTGTAATTTCCTTGTGTATGCTCTGTGGTTTCTAAAATGTGGGTCACCCTTTCCTGTCTGGCTGATTCCACAATTCCCTTGGAAATAGAATGTCTTGAAACAAATTATTTTGGAAAAGCACTGTCTTCTCAGTACCCAGTTCAGTGCAAGAATACAGGAAGAAAAGTAAGTCAAAACCAGAAGGTAATATTATATACCTTGAGAATATAGCATTATTAAAGTGGCCAAGAGAGTGCTTGATTTCTGTTTGAAACTGTATCATCACCCATAAGTAACCACATGTTATATTACATTGAGCTAACATAGTTTCTGCCTCTAGCTATAGCATTATATGGAAAAGTAACGATCTCCTTATTCTCCTGTGCATTTGGGGAGATTCAACCCATCATTACTCTGCCCCAATGGAAACAAACATATATTAACAGCAGCTATTGCACATAGTGAGGGCTGTGGTAAAGAAGCTACCTGCCCCCACCTCGAGTGTATACACACACACACACACAGTTGGGTATGTTGTCATTCATCTGATAGTAAAGGACATTTCTTACAACATTAATCAGAGCTTGATTTTCTTCTCTTGTGGAAGTTAGTACATCTCTTCACTTGATGTGTCAAGGCTAAACTATAATATCACTGCAATATTTTTGGGAGAGATATGAAGTGATAATAACCTTTACTATAACTATTACTGGAGAGATGCTGGAAAATATGTAATATATTTGGTATTAGGTAAGCTGATGAGAAAAATAAAATATGATCTGTGCATTTTGACTGCTGCACTCTACTCTCATGTTCTGAGATTGCCAAGGCCTTCAATGCAATGTGTTTTTACAGCATGTGCCTCTTGGTGGCTTAACTTTCTTGACCATGCTTTGCAAATGCAAAATGAATTTGAGCTAAGCTGGTAAAAGAATCTGTTTTGAATCAATAGCTCTCTGAATCCTCTTTGTTTATCCTACTAACCCATCTCTTTTTGCACTGTTTCAATAAAACCAAATGGCAACCGTATGACTGCTAGAAATATTTTGAACATCATTGGAAATCAAAATTTCAACCATCTGAGAGGGAACCAAAAGGAGCAGATTCTCGGAATTCTTTCCCAGATACAATTCAGAGAGTAGCACCGTGCACCTGGACCCAGGGACTGCATTTCAAGGAGTTTTTTTCCCCCGTTCTTAACTGTTATGAACATTCAAAGCTATAGTGTAGAATAACATTTTACCAAAGTGACTCAGATTGCAGGACCTTAACAGCATTAATTTTTGACAAATAACACAGTTGAAGTCATACTTGTATCATACATGTCAGAAGTTGTATGCCAAATGCCCA